GTGCGCGCGCTTCTGGGCCAACCGCGCGGTGCTGATGTGCGCGCGCTTCCTTGGTTTTTTTGTTTTGTTTTTTTCTCTTTTCTTCTTTTTTTCTTCTTTTTTCTTCTTCTTCTTTTCTTTCTTTTTTTCTTCTTCTTTTCTTTCTTTTTTTCTTCTTCTTTTTTTCTCTTCTACTTCTTTTTCTTGTTTTTTTTTTTTTTCTTCATCTTCTTTTTTCTTCTTCTTTTTCTTGTTTTTTTTTTCTTCTTCTTTCTTCTTCTCTTTTTTATTTGGTTGATATTCACCCCCTTGGGGATGTTTTATTTTTTGAATAGGGATATTACCCTCGTTCCTTGAGATGGGATGTGCACCCCTCTTGGGGATGTTCTATTTTTTAAGTAGGGAGATTATCCTCGTTCCTTGAGATGGGATGTGCGCCCCCTTGGGGATGTTCTATTTTTTGAGTAGGGAGATTATCCTCGTTCCTTGAGATGGGATGTGCACCCCCTTGGGGATGTTCTATTTTTTTAGTGGGAATATTATCCTCGTTCCTTGAGATGGCATGTGCACCCCCTTGGGGATGAAAGGTCAGTGGATGTACCACCCTTGAGATGAGATGCCCAACTTTAGGATGGGATAGCCCCCCATTTAGGATGAGGCGATCACGAACCACTGGGGTGAGATGCCCCACCTTGGCGATATATGGTGCCACTGATTAAGTGGCAGCACGAGTTGAATCTTCCGTGATCATACGCTGAAGGTTTTCTTCGGTTATCTGAACCGTTCGAGAAGTAAGTAGAAATTGATCATGTTGGGGACCCAGTGGGGCCTCACGAGGAGGAGCGTTGGCTCCTGCTATGACGAATGAAATGTTTTGGGGGCAATGTGAACCCCCAGGGAGTCGATAACCCTTGGCGAACGAAATATTTTGGGAGCAGATGTAAGCCCCCAGGGAGTCGATAACCCTTGGCGAACGAAATATTTTGGGGGCGATGTAAGCCCCCAGGGAGTCGATGGCGGTGGTGGCATGGGTGGCTATGTAAGCCCCCAGGGAGTCGATGGCGGTGGTGCCATAGGTAGCTCCACATGTGGAGCAGGTGCTGGTATCGCGTTGGGAGCATTTGCTCCCATCGTGGCGATATATTGAGTCACGGCCTCTGTGGCAGCGCGAGTTGAAGCTTATGCTATCATGCGTTGAAGCGCATCCTCGGTTATTTGAACCATTCGAGGAGCAGGGAGTGGTGGATCGGCGAGTGGTGGGTCCCGAGGGGGATCACCTGAACCTCGCGAGGTGGATCCATGGGATGTGGAGGAGGTGGCAAGCCAGAGCCTCCACGAGGTGGGAGGTCGTTAGCTGTGTCATTTTCTCTCCGAGCAGACGCCTCAGGAGGATCTTGTTGGCTACGTGATCTGGTTTGCATCGTTCCCACAGACGGCGCCAAAATGATGATGCTAATTACTTAGATCACCTGGGGTAGTGTAGAAAACGAACTGGGAGAGCAAAGCAGATCAGTAGCTTGACAACTTGATGATCCTGAGGTACCTGCGAAATGAACACACGTGAACTACGCCGGGGGTTGATCCGGCGGAAACCCCTCCGACGCTCAAGTCAGACGTGCTGATCATAGAAATAGTCCAGAGAATATACATTTTGTAGTATTACTCAATAATAGGACGTACCTTAAGGAATGAATTCAAACCTTTATTTATAGCTTAGTTGAGATTGTCGGGCACAAACCTTACTTGAAGGTGATTGGGCCTTGGTGATAATGGTCTTCGATATTGGGCTCGTGGCCCAGTAGGTAAATAATTTGTAGGCCCATTGGGTTGGGGCAATTAGGCATATCAAAAAGATTATTTATTTATTGTATATTAATAAATTATTATATTGCATAATATAAACAAATCGACATTGTTTTATATGGTGGAGAGGGAACCTATTATTAAAAATAAAATAAAAATCTTACACCATCTCAGGACCAAATCTTAATGATGAATCTATCCGTTCAGTATTTTTTTTTTTTTTGAGTAAATTCAAGTCCATTACAAGGGATATTTAAAAGGTTCAATGAATTGATGGATCCGACTTACTCACACTTAATTCAAATAGACACAATTACTCGTGTTGCTTTTTTATTAAATCATTATTCTAGTTAAAGAATTTAAAGATTCTCGTATAATATTCCTGTAATTTTAATATTTAAATATCAATAAAAAAAAAGTCGCACTTGAAAAAACTAGATAGGAAACTTTATATGTTTTTATTTTACTAAAATTACAGTTAAACCTCTATGAATTTATACAATTGGGACTGACAAAATTCTATTAATTTAGCGAAATATTAAATTATCGAGTTAATAATTTAGTACATTTTTGCTGATCCAAGACCGTAAAAAATATTATTTAAACGAGACTATTAGTTTACCAAGATTCTACCGCAGATAGTTAAATCAAGATTAAACGAGGCTATTTCATATAATAGCAAAGAAACAGTTTAAAAAAAATCAAAATACACTCTAATGCCAAACGTCCCCTAACAACGTCTCCCCCAGTAGTTGTACTCTGCCCAACAGATGTTGTACCTTTTGTGACATTTCTAATCTGTAATTTTCTCCGTCTACTCGCCGCCGCTTAAACCCTGGAACTCCACCCCCTCCACTCCATACCACCACCAGGTCCACCACCACTCTCCCCACGGCCATTGCCACACACACAAACACACAGTGAAAAACACTGATATCTAGAATCAACAAACTGAAAAACAATTCACTTCAATAAAAAAAAAAAACTCCTCCTTTTTTAAATTAATTCCAGAATGTCGTTCCACTCCGTCGTAATCCAGAAACTCCTCACCACAAACGCCCACATCGGCCGCCGCGTGACGGAGCACCACTTCAAGATCTTCTCCGAGGGCACCCGCAACGCCGTCAGCGTCATCGATTCCGACAAGACCCTAATCTGCCTCCGCAACGCCTGCAATTTCATCGGCCACCTCGCCCGCAGCAACGCGCGGTTCATCTTCGTCAACACCAATTCCCTCTTCGACGAAATCATCAACCAGATGACCAAAACCGTCGGGATTAAGAACGACACCACGTGGCGCCTCGGGGGATTTCTGACGAACAGTTCGAGCCCTAGGAAATTTCGCGGGAGGAACAAAAAATTCAATCTCGGCTCCGTTCAGGCTCCCGATTGTATCGTGATCTTCGACACCGATCGGAAGAGCTCGGTGATTAGGGAGGCGTACAATCTGCAGATCCCCATTGTTGGGCTGGTTGATTCCAGCATGCCTTGGGATATTTACAAGAGGATAACTTATCCTATACCTGCTAATGATTCTGTTGAGTTTGTGTATTTGTTTTGTAATTTGATCACCAAGACTATCTTGAAAGAGCAGGAGGCCATGCCCAAAATCGATGAGAAGTTATTAACAGGGTACGTAAATGTTGATTCAGTAGTTCCTGTTTTAATTTTTAACATTATCATGCTTGATTCGCGGTCTGTATTGATTAAGCTAATGATGCCACGTTTTGTTGTTTTTAGCATACTTCATCTGTCAACTGCATTCCTCAAGCTTCTCATTTACAGTAAATGTATGCGTATGACTATTTTCTCCCTTTTCGTGTGTATCGTATACATACGCATTTTTAGACGATTCAATGAATTCGTACTTCTTTTTATTGTATTTGTGTCAGAAGATCAGCTTTTCAATGTTTAATATGTTTCTCGACAAGTTCTATTTTTTTATTATCCCTTAATCCATCAGAGATGTAATTTTGGTATGATGGGAAATTCCGTTACAGATTAAGGCTTGATAAGTTTCTCGACAAGTTCTATGTTTTGTTTGCCCTTAATCCATCAGAGATGTATTTCTGCTATGATTTAGACAATTCCGTCACAGCACTATTTTTGTTGGTGGTCTCAGTGTATTATGTAAGACAGTGATGTGATCATTGAATGGTATTATTTTTCGATTATACGGTGGAGAATATTGTACTAGGTCTAGGCTGTGTACATGATTATATTAATACTCATATTTCTTTTTTGTGATAATCATATATGTTCATTGATATTGCGTGAAAACAACATCCTTTTTTTCCTTTCTAAATCAACTTCAAATTGATTTCATTCTTTATGTATCAATATTAAGCTTCGACATTTTGAGTTAGTACTTCGACATTTTGAGTTAGTACTTATTTGCTCATGTTGATTTTGCATGTGCCAGAGGAGACGTCGAACAAGATGACCAGATTGATAAGACGGCCAATAAATTTGTCTTTGCTTATGAAAACTTACAGGCTCTCCCGGATGGTAAATGGATACATAATAACTTTAACGAAATTATTAACCAATCAATTTTTTATTTTTATTTTACCAGTCAAATTTTTTTATCCTCTTTTTATTCCGCCAAACATTCTATCGACGTGCTAATTCAATTATTTTTCTCTATGCATCTTTTAAATACAGGAATAGTCATTTTTTAATGATTTTTTTTGTTAATAGGAATGAAATATTTCATTTTTAACAACAACTGAATTACCGTCGACGGACATGTTAAGGCTTTGATGATCATGACGAGCTTGATAGCTTTGCTTACTGTCCCACTTTCAGTTGCTTTGATTCAAATACTGAATAACTCATTCGGTTGTGTCATTCACTTCTACAGATAGCACAGAAACCAAGCAGCTTTTGGACAAGCTTGTCATTTTGAAGTTTAACGGTAGTCTGGGGACTAAGATTGGCTTTAACGGACCCAAGTAAGTGCTTCTCCAAGTCAGAAAATCTAGTCTAGATAATTTCATTTTGAACAAGTGATGGTTAGGGCTTACTTCTAGAATTAGGGTGAGGGCTTGTGGTCTGTATAATTTACTATTTGTTATAAATAATGATATTTATCGCCTTACAGAAAATCTGTTCTCACAATTTTGCTGGATTGGTCTTTTTGCTTGACGCTAATTGCGAGATTAGTACTTGTAGCACACGGACTTGAGAAACATGTGCATACTTAAGTGCAAAAAATATTACTCAGAACGTAGTTATTTCTGTATGTAATGGAAGTACCTCCAGAAGTTTATTGATCTATCTTGTAATGTCTTCCAAAATAAACTATTTTGCAGATTACTTGCTGCAATCTATTATAAGTGTCACTGTTTCTTGCAAATTATGTGATTGTATGTTGTGTCTAAATATGTGAGTTTGGTTCTTGTATCTATGAGCAGTTAAATTCGAATTATTACTATTTGTGTCATGCTTAGGATGCACATACGAGCCTCTCTGCGCTCTATGAGCTTCTCACATTCATTTGTGCATGATGCAGATGTGCTATGGAAATTGGTGCTGGTTTGACATGCCTCGACTTGATAATCCATCAAATCGAGGTCTTATTCCACTCCTTGGTGCATTTTTTGCAATCTAAAAAATATCTTTTGGTACATTATTTGATTTTGAGGTCTGATTATCTTCCTGTTTATAGGCTCTCAATGCAAAATATGGATGCAATATTCCTCTGCTTTTGGTGAATGGAGTCAATGTACACGAGGATATATCCAAGGTAATGGTTCCTTCTATATTTAGATGGGATCGATCTTTTCTTAGAAACTGATATTTGTTACTTATTTGATGGCAGGTGTTGGAGAAGCACTCGGATAAGAACATTCATTCTGCTATACAGGTTCTATGTTCCCATGCTTTATGTGTGTATATCTGTGATTTATCTCCAGCAACTGGATATTGGTCTTAAATTTCATTTACTTAATTTTCAACGCCTGACATGTTCTTGCAGAGTCAGGATCACCTAGAAGACGCTGACAACCTTCTGCCTTCCTCAGCTAAAGGGCGTGATAAACAGGATGAAATGTATGTTATTTCCTCTCTTTCCAAAATAAAACAGTAATGAATTATATTCCACTGAGCACAGTTGAATTTATTTTTAATTGTTTTGAATTTCCTTGGAAAATGTTTGCCGAATTCTGTAGTGCTAGAAAGAATACTTGACCATTTCGCACCATACCGCACCTGTACTGTTAATTTTATAGGTTGGTTGTGCAAATTTGCACAATTATCCTATCAATCCAAGTAGCTCTTATCCAGCACTTCTGCAATTTTAACAGTAATTTGAAATTTCAAAACCTGACAGTAAAAGCCCCCAGATAAAGGAGATGTTATGCACGAACTTGAGAAATTTGTAAACTGCAAGCTAATCTATACTTCATATTTTTTCTTGTTAGTGATCGTATATATACATAAGAAAATATGTTTATATTATGTTGAACTTTCTTACATGTGAAGGAATTCCGTCAATCTTGCTAAGGTCTTTGCCCCATTGGTGGATGCTGGGAAATTGGATATACTATTATCACAGGTTAGAAATGTTCATCATTCATCTCATGTTTACATAACAAATTTTTGAATGCCTCATCTATGATTTTTGTTTGGACATAGAATTACCTTATGCTGTTAGTTTGGGCACCAACTTCGAATGTACCCTAAAAAGCTTTCTTTTCTTTTTTTTCAACAGGGGAAAGAGTATATCCTAATGCTGACTTCAGATAATCTTGCTCATGTTGTTGACCCAAGTATCCTCATCATGAATCACTGTCATACTGATTTGTTGATTTCTTACATTCTCCTTAATTTCATATGACATTTCCATCTGTGTCTCCTGCATATACTACTAAACCTGAAAGTTATGACAATTGAGCTCCTTAATGAAGGTTTTAGAAATCTTAAACCATTTGATTCAGAACAATGTTGATTTCTGTTTGGAGGTATGCTCAACTAATCTCCTCACTTTTCAGCTTTTGTTGGTAACTGTTTCTAAGCTCATGTGTGCAGGTCATGCCTAAATCCTCTGAATTAGAAGAGAAGATGCTTTCACCAAATGAAGAAGATATTCCGGTTAGTTATGTTTGTCACCTGTCGTGCATTTTTTGAATCCTCACATCTATGCAAAAGTTCGTCGTTTTTTTATTATTTAATGGTGCAAGCCTGCTCCTCCAAATATTCCGAGTAATAGGTAAAAATTTAGAAATTGAATTTTAGTCTAAATTAATAGGTAAAAACTAGTTAAAAAATTTCTCTCTATACCGTTGTCCCTTATGCAGTCAATATTTTCTTTTAACTTTTTGTCCCTCAGAATTTGATCTGTCCTTTTACGTTTTTTTTTTGTTGTTGGCATCTTGAAGATTCTAACGCCCAAGAAAGATTGGAAATTCATTGACACAATGTAAGTTATTTCTCTTGGGAACTTCTTTTCCTCTTCAGAGAAGGAAAAAAAAACTATATCTTTCATTCCTCATCCATCCCAATCTTTAATAGGTGGATGAATATCGACTCTGTCCAAGGCATTATGGGAAGAGTTTCAGCAGAAAACCACTTGAACATTTCAAAGGTAGCAAATGTAGATATTCTAGCAACGCCGTTTTGGATGAATATGAACACTTGAATCATACATACTCCGTGTCCTAAAATATTTCTGCTGCTAGAAAAGCAACTTATTTCCTTTATACAGGATCTACTTTGATTCTTATTTTTTTTTTTTCATGTTTTTATAGATTACTGTATTGCTTATTGCTATCTCCTCTTATATGGATCTTTCAGCTGTTTGATCAGCATTTTGCTTTAAGTGTTCCTAAGTCGAGATATATTCCAGTAGAAACAACGTCAGACCTATTTCTGCTGCAGGTTCACTTTATGTCCCAGCTTCCGTGTCCTTTTTTTTTTTTAATATGCTAGTGTATATATATTATATTTCTTACTATTTTTTTTCTTATGCAGTCCGATCTGTACACCCTTACGGACGGCACCCTGACTCGAAATACAGCTAGAGAAAATCCCTCTGATCCGTCCATTGAATTGGAACCATTATTTGAAAATGTACTGCTTTTAAAACTTGGAATTTGTTAAATGCTCTTTCCTTTTACTGGTACTTGAAATTTCATAATTGTTTCTTTCTCCTTTTTTTAGGTCGACGACTTTAAACAACGCTTCAAGTCAATTCCTAGTGTTGTTGCCCTTGACAGCTTAGATGTGACCGGTGATGTTTGGTTTGGAACCGATATTACTCTCAAGGTAACAAACAAAGTTTCTTCATTAGCAGAATTTCATGTCATTTTCCAAATGTCTTGCTTATTGGTAACTCGACAGAGTTTTGTGCCATCTGGGCTTGAAACATTGGTGCATCTGCTTCCATTAATGAAACCAAAGCGATGTCAAGCTATTTTTCTAGGATACCACGAAGTAGTGATGTGAGATGTTCATATTAAGTTGTAAATTGTGATGATAACATCAAGTGGATAATAATCTTCGTAAAAGAAATATTTCACCAGCTTTCTTGTGTTATCTATGAGCTTTCAACCTCAATAGAATTGAACGGGAAACCTTTGCAAGGTGCATTCTGGCAAAAGAAACTGCTTCAGCATTTTTAAAAGTACAAGAGGTTATAGATAGGAATCCGTGCCATGCTAAGAGAATCACATTAAACATATTGATTCACAGTTTGTATTAACTACTTCGTTGATCTTGTGTTGTTTCGTGTTGGTTATCTTATAGGGAAAAGTCAGCATCCATGCTAGACTGGGAATGAAGATAGTAATTCCCGACGGAACTGTGCTTGAAGATAAGGTAGGAACATCTGAAAGTTGAAGTTTAACATTTTTTTTTTCTGTTTCTGATGACTTCATGGTTTATTGACTGAACTCAATTTCTCTTTTACAGATTATTACTAGCCAAAATGACCTTGGAGGAGTATCCTTGTAGTTTTATCGAGTAAACAATGCCAGAAATTTGATGAATTTTGCTTTTAAGTTTTCTAGATCTAGGAACATTCTTCTTACACTATCCCTGTTAAGGAACTTCGCATCTATAAATACAATAATCTTCCTGGGTGAGTCTAGTCTCGTTTTCAAGAGAATTACTAGATACAAAACCCCTCGTTCGATTTTATTGCCTGTTTAAGATTAGCCTTGAGAAAGGAAGAAAACATTTTTATCTAATATCGCAAATCCGTTGTAGCCAATGGAAGAAGCCAGTGCACTGGTGATTTTGTTTATTTACTTGTTATATTTGTTTTTATGCTGAGCCAGTAGAACAAGTTGTAGCTCTGAGGACACTGTATTTTGCATTTCATAGTATTCACTATTCATTAATTTTTCCATTATAAAGCTGTGTATTGTAAGCAATGTTTAAAGGATGCAAAATGTGTCACTGCTCTGAATTCTCCAGAGAATATTTAATTGTTGTGTGCATGAATGATGATATGTTTGGTGTATTTCACGCGGTGTAGTTATTACGGAATAAATCGGGGGATGGATTGAGAAAAAGGACAATATTTTGCCTACTATGTAATGAAAAAATCAGTGGTGTAATTTTACTCTCGAAAGAATGAATAGCATTGCTTTCAGTATAACATTACTAGTTACTAGCTGGCACAAAGTTTCAACAATCAGCATCAAAATCAGGTTCCGGTGGTTTAGCAAACGTCACCCTCCTCTCAGAACCCGATTCACTACGAAACTTGTGGACCCCACGCATAGCGTTCGCAGCAAATCTGGAAGCCAGCATAGTCGCACCAATTCTCGTCGAACCACTCCTAATCAACCCAGTGTTTACGTCATCTTCTTCTTCCTCTGTACTCTCACTATCAAACTCACTCTGGTGAAGCTCCGCCAACTTCCTTCTAGAGTACCGCCGCCACGCCGCCTGAATAAAAGTTGCCGCCCAAGTCCTCCACTGCTGCGAGTAGAATCTGAACGTCTGCTGAACCTGCCGACTCTGGATTCTCTTAAACTGACTCGTGATAAATTTCAATTCATCCGCTATTAAAGCAAACGCCTCCACTTCCGTAAGAGCCTTCACTGTACGAGTGGATGGCGGTAAATTGGAAGCTGATTTAGGATCAAGAGCCCATGTTAGTAACTCCTCACCACAGAAATCGCCTTCTTTGAGGTAACCGCGGTTAAAGAAACCTGACCGCCCACCATCTGTGGTCACACTCTCGAGTCGACCGCGGATTATGAAGAGCATTTCGTCTACTGGGTCCCCCTCACGAAGTATGTATGTGCTTTCTGTGTATAAACTAGGTTTGAGTCTTTCGCAAATGGCGTCAAGCAATCTATCATCCATGTTTGCAAAAAGAGGTACCTGTACATTTGTATCTTTATCAAGATCCTAGTGGAAAATTCTATTAGCATTAGCAATAGATAGTAGTGGATAGTGGTGGAAATCATACGGAACGAATCGGACCGGAATTAGCACTTTCGGAAAAAAAATCCATTTTTTTTTCGAAAGTCGAACTATATAAAAAACGGAAATCGGAACAAAAGAACTTGTTCCAAAATCGAAAATTTCTGGATTTCCATTTTTAAGTTACTTGTAATATAAAATGCATTATAATATTGATATTATAAGTGCAATTTTTGAGGGAAAAAAAAACCAGGAATTTTCGGATATAATTTCGGAAATTAAAATCGGATTGAAATCAGAATATAATATGCATTCCGATTCCATTAAAAATAAATCGGAAATCGGAACTTTCATTCGAATTTCCACCATTAGTAGTGAATGATACTTACCCTTCTAACCAGATTCAAACAGAGGTGGCGCTTGATGTCTCGTCTGAGGTCTTTGGGTAGGTTTTGGACCAAGCTTTCTTCATCGACTCCTCTGGTTTCGAGCCATTTGTATTGGTCGTAACGGCGTACTCTTTCTCTCAGCTCCGGTGGGAGTACTCTGTGATGCATCCATTGCTCTGAATCACGTTTCTTGATTCTCATCTCCTCCAATCGGACTGTGAGAGATTGGAGATACGTCTGTGGCAACAACGGTAAAAAAAATTAAAAAAAAAATCGTAAACTCAAAACTTGGCCATAAGTGATTTCAACGTTTTTTTATCAGCATTAAGCAGATGAAGTCTGAGTAAACTAGGCTACTAGAGTGGTGGAATACAGAACTTCATTCAAACTAACTTACCGAAAAAGGGATTAGTTTAGAACTTTCAAGAATTATAACCTTTCAACTAAAAGTAGATAAGATCGACTATTGAAACGATAATAAGAAAGAAATCCACAGAACAAAAACGATGAAGCGTATATACATATACCTGCATATTACCAATAAGAAGAGCAAAGAGGAGGAGCCCGAAAATGGCTACCGCAATGGAAAACAAAACTTCTCCAGGATACGTACTCGTTACGAGCCCCTGACCAAGTGTGCTGCACGTATTTAAAAATAAAATTTAGCTACTATTCAAAAAAACAAAATAAAATATCCCCTAAACTAAAATAACACTAGCAGTGTATTTCACCTTAAATTCTGCAGGCCCCACCACAAACAGTAGAAGTATTTGGAGACAAAATGCTGAGATTCAAGAACACCAGATGATAAAGCTTGGGCATATATTCCATAGTTAAACGGCGGTTTCTCATCGTCCTTCACTTCACATTTTGGTCCGATAAGAGTCTTGCTGAGGTTTTTCCACGAGTCAATATTCGAAATCTCATGAGCACAATAGAGATAATTTGGATCACACTCTGTACTTTCCTTGCAAGCTTTATCCCAGCATGTATCTTTGCGTTCGATGGCTAAAAGGTACCATAAGGCACCGACAATCTGTGTATGCAATTCACAGTAGCATGTGAACTCAAATTTTATTAAAAAAAAGTAAAGAAAAGAAGAGAATCTAAAATAAATATATAAAAAACATACTTACATGACTAGCGAGTAAGAACCACAGCAAGTAATAAGCTGCACCAGCCCATGCAGTTTCGGCAAAAACACCTGCAGTCTTCTTCAACTCCGAAGTAAGAGGCACAAATCGTAAGAACCTTGGAATGTATTGAAGAAACACAATTATCACTAGAGCTCGTTTTGTACCCAATACATCGGAACCTTTCGCACGGTGCAAAAACCTCCACACTACAATCTGCATGACAAGAACTCTCTCTCTCTCTCTCTCTCTATATATATATATATATATATATATATATATATATATATATATATATATAGAGAGAGAGAGAGAGATAGAGAGAGAGAGAGAGAGAGAGAGAGAGAGAGAGAGAGAGAGGTGCTAAAGGTCGTTTCAATTTTATTGGTACTATTTTGACTTAAAATGTGATTTTGACCTTTTTTCAGTCCGAATTTGGCAAAATTCAAAAAATCAAATATGTATTCCTTTGAGTTGTATTTCTAATACAATTCGAATCAGTTACACTCGATGGCGGTTGAAAGAATTATGCATGAATGAATCTCAGAAAATTCAAAACATCAAAGTTGTAGCCAATGTTCATTCATTCACGGATATCTCTCTCAACCAACATCCAATCTAACTGATTCAAGTTGGATTAGGAAGCCAACTCAAAGGATCACAAATTTCGTTCGTTGAGTTTTGTCAAGCTCACATTTGATGTTAGAACGATACCAGTAAAATTGAAACGACACTTAGCACCTCCCCCATTCAAGAATAGTCCACATTCTCCATACCTGTGGTAGAGGTAGCACGGAGAAAAGATCCACGAAAAAATAACGATGTATATACCGGTGTGCTATTTCCGTGGGGTCAATCACAAGTTCCCCACGCCCAAAAACCCGAGATGAAGGCGCAATAAAAGCCGTTCGGAACTGCAAAACCATGCGCACGATGTAAAAGGCATCAATTATAGACCTGAGGGTGGTGGTTGTGTAAGCCAAACTATTATGGATATGAAGGCACATTTTATCATCCTGAAAAACGGGGAGATACAAAAACAGAGGATCGATTGATACTGCAAGAATGCAGGAGATGACTAAGAGCTTGTTCCACAGCAGAAGACTCTTGTCTTGTGGATCGAATATCTTTCTTTCGGAAACTTTGAGATCCTCTGGGAAAACGGCTCGTGTGACTCCGGATCTTAAAGACCGACCGAATGTGAGAAGACCTTCGGAACCTCTTTGAAAGCCCATTTTAAAGGACTTTGATGTGGTCTTATTCGAAGATGCTGGTGCAGTTAACCCCTCTAAACTAAACGTACCCCTGTTCTTTCCAGCCATTTCTGGTCTATAAGAGTCCAGGTCATCCAACCTATTATATAAACCAGCACCGCAAAAAAAAAAAAAAAAAAAGTTTGTCATTTTACCAAAATCTAGCAATTTAATGTGTTGCATAAGATTTCCGAGTGTGAACGTATTTTTACAAGGCTGAGAAAGGGGACATTTTCGTGGAGACATTTTTACGAATAGCTGGAGGGAGTGTCGTCGAATGGGATTACCTTACGAATTTCTCCTTCTGTCCGCCTATGTATTGTGACTTGTAATTGGAATCGAACATGGTTTCAGACCGACTGCATAGCAAATCGAGGTTGGAATATCACCTCATCACCGGAAACAGACAAGATTCTATTCAACTTACATACGGAATCATGAAATACCATGTCTAGTAAAACCTGCAGGTAATACATACATACAGGGTTGATCAGTGATCAAATACAATCAAGGAAAAGGGTAAATTTCTGACCATTTTCATCTAAAAAATTAACTGATCTCATAAAATTGAACCCAACGCCACGCAGAGAAAGATCATACATAAATCATAGCATAATGAAGAAAATTGGCAGATTCGATCATGAAACAAATTTACATTTTAGGGCACGAAACTAATCGATCTAAATACTTGCAGAAAGAGGAAATGAAAAATAGAAATATTAATTAATCCATGTTTCTAAATAAAATCATACCCAAAAGCAACGGAGGAAGAAAGATCTGGAATACAGAAGATCAACCGGAAAACGCCGCCTCTTTTTCACAACGAATGCGTGAAGAAATTGTTGCATGGTAATTTTGAGATTTTTTTTTCGATTTTTGTTCTTCTGTTTTTCGTTCTGTATTTTGTGGGTAAGAGAGTGATTTTCGCGCCAGTGTGAAGGAGAAGCAGCTATCCGACTCCCATTAATCAAGGGTTTAATTACAAAACAGCTCCTCTATTTTTTGTAAAATACTAATTTAGCCACTATATTTTAGTTATACAGTTAAACCTCTATAAATTAATACAGTTGGGACCATCAAAATTTCATTACTTTAGCGAAATATTAACTTATCTAAAAATTAATAATTATTAATTTATATATTACTTAATAACTTATTAATTTATGAAATTACTTTTATTATTATTTCAATAAATATATTTTTTTATTTTTTTCACGTGTATATTATTTATTGTACTATTAGTTCAATGCACTATAGAACTCGTTTCATTGACGGAAGCTCTTAAAGCAGCAATTGTATAGAACGATTTATGTTGAGTTATGAGAAAACTATACCGAAACTCTAACCATGTTAAGAAAAGTGAGAGAAGAGATTGATGGTAATGTGAATTTCAACAAGAAACAAGCGACAATTAAATTACATTGTGTTAAGCCCTCATAGATCTATAAAATATGTGTTGTACCGTGTAATTTAAGAATTATTTTTATTGATTATTAATTTATATATTACATGGGGCTTCTTAAAATTTTCGAATGTGTATTATCTTATAAATTTAGCGAATTATTAATTTTGCACGTTGTCCCCGAGTCGGGACCGGGAAATTTATTATTTAAGCGAGGTTATTAATTTATCGATGTTCTACTGTAGTTTGAAAACCACCTGCGTCATCTCGAATAGTCGAATTAATGGCACTTCTTGCAAATTACCTATTATGTCCTTGAAATTATCAAACATTTGGTTAGTATGGTTATGATTTAAGATTTCATTCGTCCATTCCTTTCGATTTTTAAGTTTATCGAACTAAATCTTAAAGAAATTGTGCATTTATTATTTCATACGAAAGCACACGAGATAAGAAAACGAGAGATACGTTCGACGCATCGCAATATATTTTGCATTGAGTTTGCCATGGGAATGAAAAAATTAACAGCAAAGATGATGATGTGCAATGCAATTATCTAAACCAAGAGAAAGTCATATGTAATTAATCAAAACTTCAGGGGCATATATGCAATAAATTAAAAAAATTCAAAATTATCATTCTTGCCTTTTGGAACACATCCTTACATGAACCAAAAAAAACAAACCTTGTATTTTTGTAATAATACAAAAATGTGCTATTAACAATTAAAAAGAAAAAGAAAGATCTGAACTATTCACTCTCTAACAACAACCAGAACAACGAGCCTCAAGAATGAAGGTGTCGATTTAACGAATGCAACGCTCCGCAAAGTGTGATCTTGTGCTAACCGAAATGACTCTAACGCCCTCGAGACATGAAACGAGGCAGGGGTAGCGCGGGGTGGGGTGGGGTGGGGGGTTTAGTGTTACTGCATTACGTACTGTTGCAACTGCTTGGTTCTTTTCTTGTTCTTCAACTTACGAAACGCGCAAGATTCAATCTGCCTCACTCTCTCTCTGCTCACACCCATAAGCTCGCCGATTTCTTGCAAAGTCTTCATTCTACCATCTTCGATACCAAACCTCCACTTCACAACTTGCTTCTCTCTCGGGTTTAAACTATCGAGAACGTCCGCCAAATCCTGTTTCATAAACTGCTTTATCAGCAACTCTTCCGATGTTTCGGCTTCAGGGTCTGAAATCACTTCCTGCCCAAGAAAACGAGACAACAGCGTAAGATGTATAGTGTGTGTAAAGAGAAATTAACTTCAAGAATTAGAATTATTATGTTACCAACATACCGAGGGTTTGAGGTCTTGATTAACCCCGATTTTCTGGTCAAGGGATCGAGGTGGTTTAGGAGTCAACATCACTGCAGAAAGCCGTTTCATTGATAGACCTGTCGCTTCAGCAACTTCTTCATCGTTCGGAACTCTTCCGTTTTCACTGTACAGTTGCTTTCTAGCCTCCTTCACTCTGTACGTTGCCTCAACCATGTGAAACTGCCAAAGAAAAAAAAAACCCGCAAATTTTAAAACAATAATTGAATCAGAGCATTCCAAGAAAGATTGAATTTTTATTGTTTTATTTATGAGCATTCCAAGAAAGATTGAATTTTTATTGTTTTTTTTAAACATGAAATATGATATTTATGAAAATGTGTGGTCTTACGGGTAGTCTAATTGTTCTGGACTGGTCGGAAAGGGATTTCCTCACTGCTTGCTTTATCCACCAGTGAGCGTATGTGGAGAATTTAAAACCTTTCGTGGCATCGAATTTCTCCGCACCTCTCACAAGGCCTCGACATCCTTCCTGTTTGACGAGAATAAATAATTAAATATAAATACAAAATACGAGAGAGATCAACATTTTTTTTATTTTTACGAAAACGGGTTGTAAAAAGTAAAAAAAAAAAGTGAATACCTGAACCAAATCTTGAAGATTCATTCCAGCTCCTTGGTAATTTTTGGCAATAGAAATAACTAGTCGTATATTGCTCTTAATCATTTTGTCTTTGCAGAGAATACCGTAATTTATTTGCTCCCTCAATGTTTTCTGATCTACACCAGCAGCAGCAGCCCATTGTGAATAACTAGGCTCACCACCGAAACGCTCGATAAGCTCCACTTGTAGTCTTTCCAACTTCAGCAGAACCTGCATTCACAGTCGATATAAATCAGTATCTAGAGAGAGAGAGACAGTATCTAGAGAGAGAGAGAGAGTCCATCTATGATTACCTGAATCCCTTCGGACAACACCTGTTCTTCCGAGGCAGTAAGTAACCTAGTACTACTTGTCGTAGCTCTCAAGTAACGAAGAGGATCGGAGTAATCCACTTCTTGTACAGGAGATCGTTTTTTCTTCGAAGAACCAGATTTCACAGACACAACGTTCGCTGCCGCCTTCTCCGCTGCCCTGCCTCTCCTCACTTTCCGCTCTATTTGACGCTTCGATCTAACAGCTATACTACTGGAGAGCTGCAAATCGAGCAATTCAAGTTCCTCCGCACTAGGCTCCTCCGAATCATCGGATTCCCCAAGGACATGATCGTCATTTTCCCCCGACCCAATTTCAGCCTCTCTTACAACAACTCTTTCAGCTGAGGTGTCAACTTCAAGAAAGCTTTTTGTATCGGGTTTTGTCGATCTGTGTAGGCTGACCATCATAGCTGCATCTTTCGCTACCTTTACCGCTGCCTTAGCCAAAGCCAGTGCTTCGGATGCAGCAGCTGTAATAACAGCTTCGTCACTTGTAATAAGAGCCTCCTTATCCAAATTTGCTCCAAGATTTATCTGCATTTAACACACATAATCAGCATTTTCCGGGTTTTCTTATCCTTCCATTTATCCTCCAACGGGTTCAAGATAATTTGCTGAAAAAGCTTCTTTTTTTTTTTTTCAATCTTACCTCAGAAGGGGGGCCAACTGATCCGACATACGTCAATGTTTTGTTCGAAGCAACGGGTAAGGAAGTTAATTTGTCGAGGTCGAGCAATGACGTTTTAGCCCTTGGTGTAGTCCACGATCTATCAGCAGGGAGTGAATTGGGAATAGTCTCTAATGGCGATAGCTGTAGCTTCTCAAACTCAAGGAGTGTAGTTGTTGCCGCCATAGTTGGTGGCGGAGATGTGGTAGATAAGACACATTGTGTTCGGAAATTGATCGATTCTCTACTTTTCGCTGCATTCAAATGCACTTACGTGTGAAACAAACACACAATCCAAATTTAGGAACCCAAAATTGCTTACATGACTAAAGCACATTTACCATACATTTGACATTGCCTTTACATTAACTTATGATTTCCCAGTACCGAACTACTCGTAATAGTACACGAATTTCGAACAATGGTGTTACTTAGTGAAATAGGTGATTCTATAATTAGCTGACTGATTTGCTAAATTTAGTAGATTTGTTTAGAATGTAACCTATTATTAGTTGTTTTTTTCGATATTTTCGAGGATTGTTTCCTAGGTATCTCTGTAAATTCTGTCTGAATTTAGTTTATTTCCGAAAAACAAACCCCCAACCAACATCATAAATCCTCCACAATTATCAAAACCACAATTTGCAGATTGAATTCAGCAAAACACCATCACCAAGGTTTCTTTCTACACACACCACAACTCAAAAAAAAAAAAAAAAAAAAAGTAGAGAGAGAATGCAGCATCATCAAATTCAAGAATTCAACACAAGACAAAAAAACACATTTTTTTATCTGCAAAAAAAAAAAAAAAAAAAAAAGGCTTACAGGAGTGGACGGTGAAAAGGGTCTGAGACTTGAAGTTGACTGCAAAAGTGTCCGGCGAGCACTTGAATTGCGGCAGCAGGCACGACATACTTCTCCTATACACTCATTCACATACATACATGTATATATCCAACTTTCAAATATCTTTCTTCCGTACAATTCCCCCCTTCATCTTTGGTAAAAGAGCAATCTTTTTTTTTTGTTTTTGTGTGTGTATTCTGATTGTTTAGTCCAAATGAAGCTAGCAAGACAGTATTAGCTTAGAGAGATTGTATGCAGACAGACAAAATGTCGAGAAGTAGCTACAGAACTCTTGAAATATTTCTAGAGAGAGAAAGAAGAGAGAGAGAAGGGGGGAATGGCAGAAAGAGATAAAATGTAAGGATAAGAGAAGTGGCAATTTGCCTTTGAGCAATTGAGGATGAGAGGAAGACAAGGATCCACCATCTCTCTTCTCTCTCTCTCTCTCTCTTGTTGTTTGATATTTGGGCTTTTTGTTTAGGGCTAATTATTTTCTAGCCCATTTTCTTACTGGACTACCTTCGTTTTGACCCGACCCGACCCTACCCGAATAGATCGGGCTGTAATAGCATTTTAGCATACAAATCTTTCGGCAAGGTTTTCCCTCTTTCCACTCACACTCTCTCTCTTTCCGCCTCCGTGAATTTCAACTCAACCCCGCCGTGAAATTCTCCGCCCACCAAACCCTAACAGAAAAGTAATGTCAACTCCGTCGGGGTTTCTCCGGGGAACTAGGGCGCTGTTCGCCGCAGCCGCCAAGTCCGCCGCTCCACTTCCCAAGACCAACGTCGCTTCCACCTCGAGCAAAAAACCCGCCGCCGCCGCGAAACCATCGAAGGAGAAGAAGGCTTCCACCTCCGGGATAATGAAACCCACGCCCATATCGCCGACCCTCCAGAGCCTAGTGGGCGCCCCGGAAATATCTCGTGTGGGAGCTGTTAAGAAAATCTGGGAGTACATCAAGCTCCACAATCTTCAGGTACTAATACCACAATCTCTCCTTTCTGGCCATGGAGGAATGGTTGCTAGACCATAAAATAATTTTTAAAAAATGTCGAAATTTTATTAGGGTTTTCATGTTTGAGACAAACCTAGCTTGAATCCCCTTCAGTTTGAGATCCAGTTGGTTTATTTGTATATGCAGAAAGTTTAACTGTATTTGCAAGTAGAGCTCCGTATATTACGGGCACCCCTGAGTTAAGGTCAAATTACGAAAAAAACCTCCTCATGTTTGGGTAATTACAACCATCACTCAACTATGAATCTTCTTACATGTTATTCATATAGTGTCGAATCCAACAAAATCTTCTATGTTTCGTGAAACGTTCTTTAATTTGTACCCGCTTTATGCAAAAATGCAATTTCTGATGCACCACAATTTGATATTTACAAGTCAAGAGACACATCTTATGATCATCTTGTTTCAAAATGTGGAGCTCGAATAGGGTAAAACGGGTACAAACTGGAGAATATTCCACATAATTTAGACGACTCCAGTAAATTTGACACGTGTAAAAAGATTCATAGCTAAGCGGATGGTTGTAATTACCCAAATAGGACGAATTTTTTGGTAATTTGACTATACCTCAGGGGATGGCCGTAACTTACCTTATATTTGTTTTATTTACATCCCTTTCCTCCCTTTTTATATATGAGATTGGAATGAAATTTTGGGTTGCTTTTCGTTTTTAAATTTAATTTCATATTACAGTAGAACTTGTAGAGTTTAAACTGCCTTTTCTCTATATACTATGTGGTGCGTTTAAAAGGAAGCAAGTTTTTCACACCAGTTGCTAGTTTGTACTTCACAAGAACGTATATAGAAATATCGACTAAATAACACGTGTTCCATGACCAAATACTTTACATGGTTTTGTAGCAGATTTGTTTATACATTAACCTTTAAAGTACATCTTTCGTCTTGTTCATTATAAGTGTAACTTGCATGTTTGAGATATTGTTGTTCGTTTATATTGTTGGTGATGATATTTGCAAATTATGTATTGATCAACGTATGTAAAATTTCTCGTTTTACTTAGTTCTCTCTTGAAGTGATACATACTGAATTGATTGGTTATCGAACTTCACACTAAATTGGTCAATAGTTATGCATCGGGTAATGCATGCATAATCAGAACTCAGTTTTCATTTACGTGCAGAACCCATCGGATAAGAGAGAGATCATTTGTGATGACAAGCTCAAGAAACTGTTTAATGGACAGGATAAGGTCGGGTTTCTTCAGATTGCAAAGCTGCTTTCGCCCCATTTTATCAAGACTGTTTAGTTTAACTGCTCATTTACTAGGTTTTTTTTTTGGTGGGCGATTACTTTCGAACCCTTGTCCAGGAATCGTTAAACTCTCTCTCTCTCTCTCTCTCTCTCTAAAACCTGTTGAAATATTGCAAACAAGTTTTGTATCTATCCTATGTTTTGGGAATGTTGGCATCTTTTGTTACTAGCTTTGTCATCATGTACAAAAATTGTAGGATGATTTGATGTGTTTATGACATTTGCTGCTGCTTCTTCTTCTTCTAATTCTCTATGTTTCTAAATATTTTTTTCGAAATATTATTATTAATGATGGAAACAAGCTTTATTTCCAGAGTTTCCGAATGAATAAATACAACAATATACACAACTAGTTGCTTGTGATTAAGTGCCTAAATGTGCAATTAATCGAGGAGGTGGTTTATCCACTGCTTTACAACCGATGGAGAACCGTACCAAAGTCTCGTTTCATCATCGGAACCAACGGGTGAGTGATAAACTCCGTCCAGAGTTATGTTTAGTGCACCTTCCAAATGTGCAGATATTTCAGGCACAACTCCATCTCCCCATACATCTGCTTGCCCACATACCTAGTAATGCATTCTCCAAATAATCACACATATTGACCAAAAATTGCGTGTATTAACCCGAAAAAGAAAAATCAAGAAATCTGAATGTACAAACAGCAATCCTATTTTTACCTGCTTATATCCTTGACCAACAAATCGAGCTTGCAATGTGGCAGATGATGGTGCTGTATTATCAATGGCGGTCATTTCACCAACTGGTTGGTCAATTTTGACCGTAACTCCAGAAATATCGTTATTGCTCGATCTAGTCAAACGAGCCCCTTGTATGTACCTGCAATATGCAATAATCAGCTTAGTTGCCTAGTTTTTGGCAGACCGTGTTGTGATTAATTGAATTATTGTTTTGCCCGAGATGAATACTGAATCAAGAAATTAGTCAGGAATATTCTAAGTATGTTTTTTCTCTGTGGTGAATAAAAATTCATGACAATGTCCCAGAGCTTAGAACCTAAAGAGTAAGATGCATTTCACCTTCTGTATATTTACATGCAATATAATTTTTACCTCCCTGCAACGCACACATATCTAAATTCCGGGGTATAAACAGCTTGAGCACAATGCTTTTCAACATAATCCAAAAGTCCCCTCGTTTGATCTATGACTCCCGGCACGCCTTTAGGTGGTGGGCTGACAAAAGAAAATGAAGAAACTCAATCAAAATCCACAAACCACAGGTCCATTAATTTAACAAACTGGATCATTTAGTAACCACGAGTAAAAACCAAATATATTTAAATAACCGGAACTAATCAAGAAGTATGCTGTAAATATATACATACAGGTGAGGGGTGCCTAATGTCAACAGTAGGGAAACATCGGATAGGCCATATTCTTGCAAGTAAACACGAGCCAGCCATCCACCCGCTGAGTGCCCAATCAAAGATAAGGTTGAACCTACAACAAAAACGGCTTCATTATGGATGTAATGACCGAGTCACGTTTAATACCAAAAAAATTAAAAAATTCAACTGATCTAAACACAGCTCCCACCTAATAAAAGTATGGAGTTATGGTGAAAACTGTAACATATCCTGTTAGACGGAAATGATTACTTGGGTTAATCACAGTTCCACTTTTTACCTAGGAAACCAAGAAAAGAAACATATTTAACTTTGAAAAGAAAAACATTGAAGTACAAGATGTTTTTAACCAGATTCTCGACAACCCTTCTCCAATCTACACATCACAATATTGGATGCTTGAGAATCGAGATGGTAAAAATGACTCGGGAAATGTGTTACAAATGCTTGAACAAGAATGGTAGTTTCTGAGACAAAATAATATCAAAGAAGCAAAATACGGCTAATTATTACATATATCTCGGTACAACCACCATGCTATCACTCATGCAGTTATAGTAGTTAAATTACATATAAAGTCCATCCATTTCATTTTTTTTATGGCAGTGCAATTATGGAACCAATGAGGAATTTCTTCTCGTCCGATGACAAGATAATTGCTACAGTTTTCACATTTTGCACTTTCCAAGCTTAAAAGAAATCAATGTTAGCCTCAACGATCAAGGTACTACACGTGGAATTGTGCCTTGTGAACCGAACCAACTGTATATTACAATTATAAACATCCAATAGCTATAGCAATCAGCACGTCAGCATGAGTGTACGATAGTTTTTCTAAAACCCTAAGAGGCAGACTTTAAAATAGAACCCTGTAATGCACACGTATCGGATCACATATTTAGCTATATGTCGATTACTCTGGCATGCATTTTACGAGGGCTGAAATGGTATGTTGACACAAATATCTAGATTGAAACAAATCTCAACGAACACCATCATCAACGTTGCAAGCAAGTAGATATATATATGTATATACATATATACACATATATAGACATTAGACACACCTTGGGCCAATTCCTTCGCCTCGTTCACGGCTTCTTCAACCCTCTCAAGATACCTGCCATAAAACATAGAAAATGTAAACATCCGCCAAATGACGAGAAGTATAATTAAAAACAATGAACGGAATCCGATTATCACCAGTCAACAACCGGTCGAGGGCGGAGGGTGCCTCGCCAATAATTCGAGTCCAACAAGCCAGCAGCATTTCTCAGCCAATCAATTCTGGAAACATTGGCAATCACAGTGGGAACCCCGTAATCTTTCAAAATTAGGGCTAATTTCTGGTAGTCGTTTGTATTATTCCCCAATCCCTGCAAAACCACAAACATAATTTTTTTTTTAAATTGCTGCTAAAATTGAGAAATTGATTTTGCAAATATTCCAATAAATTAAAAATACAGAGGAAAATGCAACATTTATGTAAATTTGGGTAAGAGAGGATTAACTGGAAGAATGACGGCAGGGCGATAGGTGGTGGAAGTGATGGGTGGGGAAGAAATAGAGTCACTCTGAGACAGCGTGGAACTGCAACGGAAGCGGCAGCGGCTCCTCGATGACGGCGGTGATGGTGGAGGAAGTGGCGGCGAAGACAGAGCTACGGCCATCTTCTTCCACCGCTCGACGTTTGTGGTGGTTTTTGCCCAGTACTTTTTCCTTACTAGATAGGAGTATATTTGAACGGAGACTGTTTTTGCAACGGTTTTGTAGATAGCTATAACTTAACACGAATTTTAGAATAATTACACTTTGGACCCCTAAACTTAGCATTTAAAACGATTTACGCCCCAACTATTTACTGTCACGAATTTAATCCTCAAACTATTTACCGTCACGAACTATAGCTTAACAGTAATTACACCACTGCCAATGCCATCGAGCTGAATCCAAATTGCCGACCTTAGCTTATACATACTTACCAACATAACGATTTTTCAATCATAAAACTAGTAATCCTACCCATGCGCCTTTAAAAAAAATCTACCAGTTCGATACACGGTATATAAATATAATCTTCAATTAATGATTATACTAAATTATGTTATATTACATAAGAAGATTCACACGACAAGTTACATGTATAGATTTATTATGCTCGTTTTTTGATGGGCCGTAAATTATATTAGCTTATCCGCGTGGGCTTCCCTCCAATATTTGAATCTTCCAAGAAATTCGCCGAGGGGATAAAGATGATGAAACTTCAATCCGATGATATGAAGACCTTTTTAGAATAAAAATAAAATAAAAAATTTGAATCATTGATTAATTTATAGTATAGATAGTAAATATATATAGACGAGTAGATTGATAAAGAAGTTAGAAATATGGGGTTGAATATTAAATATTAAAATACAAAGTACATTGCCACATACTAGAATATTGAAATAGAGTAGACTAGCAATTTTGATTTTTTGATAAGATGGACGTATAATTAAATAACGGAAATTGTTGAATGGAGTTGGTGATAATTACCATATAATCCAAGATTAGTGGTTGATGATCATCGTCAGCAAATTAATCATGTATGTATATGTATATGTTCCACACTTTTCATTGAATCTTTTGGGAAATATTCTAAGTTTGGACAAACTTGACGTGACTAAAATGGTTGGCTACTTTAATAATAGGATTTTATTTAATAATAGGATTTGGAGGAAAAATTTCGAACCATATTCGATAATGAATTTCAAATTCTTGACTTCTAGATTGAACTAATTTTCGAATGGCTATAACTTATGTAACATGGCCACACGGAAACGGCAATACGAGAAAATGGGAAAACATATTGAAAACAACTTGTGAAAATGAGGATACAAGAATTTGGGGGAAACATGTAAATATTAAAAGTATAAGAATATATTTATAAATATACTATATAACATATATAAGATTTTATGTGTATATAAATTCATTGTATATTGTTATCAACAGTCAATTTGCAATTGATTATTAAACCATGTAAATAATTACATAAACAATAAAAATATTTAGAAATTTGCTATTCGCACAGATTTCTAATTTTTCAGAAATTGCAAAATAAGTCCATAAGGTGTCCGGCAGGTGTCCTCGAACGTCAAACACGAAACGCGTCGAAATGCATGACTATAAATAAAATTCAAAATTCACCTAATACTTCATCTCAAAAAGCTAATTAATTTCTTTTTATTATTAAATCTAGAATTATTCCATGTAAATGCAATGTCTATATTTTTTAGGGGTATAAATTGAAAAAGTTGATTCGAAAACTTTGTGGCTAAGTGTACGCGTGGGGAGAACGCGTGAACCAGTACGATAAATACACAAGGCGCAACGGCTTATTAATAACAACACGTAACACAGCAGGAGAATTTTGTTTAATCTTCCAAAACCAAAAATTGAGAAAAAACAAAAAAAAAAAAAAAGCTCGCACAGAATTGAGGAGAATCCGAATTCCGAATTCCGAATTCCTATTAGGTAAATTATAATTTCTCTGTTGCTCGTCAAATTCATATCTGAAATAACGGTTGAATTATTTGAATTATTCGTAAAAGAAAAAGGTTATTTTTATGGAGGTTGATCGATGATTTTGTATCTGCTTTTTAAAAATTTATTTTCGATACAGTTTTTTTCCCTTGTTTCTTCAATAGCAATTGCTTTGAAAATATATGTTTATCTGCCTTTGTTGATGCATGTGTGCATGCACAAGTTTCTAATTTGGCGATGCCCTTTACTGTTTTCCTCTGTGCCTTCGTCGTAATTGAAATTTGAAACCCTAATTTTGTCAGAAATGATTTTAGGTTTCTTTCTGGTTTTCCTTTTGTTTGGGGAAGAATGGGAGAAGGCCTTTTTTTTATTTATTTTTATTAATTTTTTATAATCCTATTACAAATAGGGAAGTAGGAGGTTAGGTACCACCTTTCCTGATAAATAGGGTTAGGGATTTGATATGGAGATTGATCGGAAACTTTTTTTATCCGATTGTACGTTTTTTCGGAAAAAGTAGCCTCGAGATTTATGATTAAGGTTGGGGATTGAAATGAAAGATCAAGATATTGTATTTTTATCTTCTTTGTTTTAACAAAGCTAGATGTAAGTAATTGCTGAATTCTTGAATCAATAGTATAATATTCCATTGAAACCATCGATTTCCGATGTTAATTTCTAAAAACAGAACACCAATTACTCGTAAATACCCGTTCCATTTCTGTTTGCTATTTAATTTCATTGCTATAATATTAAATACACGCTCTCTGTACGTTAAAACACGGCATGTTACTGACGGGTGATTTTGTTGATCGATTTGTCGCAGCCTTTGCGGGTTTTTAACTAAAGTAAGAAACAGAAAAAAGATGGGAGATCGAAAGGACAATCACGACGAAACTCAGGACAAAGGGCTGTTCTCTGGTCTTGCAGCATATGCCGCCGGAGCTGGAAGAGGGCATTACCCTCCGCATCCCGGACCTTATCCTTATCCTCCACAAGTAGGATATCCACCGCACGTTGGATATCCTCCACACGTAGGATATCCTCCACATGGCGGATATCCTCCTCCTCCGCCCGGATATCCTCCCATGGCTGGTGGGTACCCACCTGCAGGGTACCCTCCGGCAGGGTACCCTCCCCCTCATGGATATCATCCATCGGGTTATCCCGGCCCTTCTCATTCAGGTATTTCAAATATTGATTATTGTTGAATTTTACTACTAGCCAATAAATTATATCGTCCTGTTTCATGCTTGTGAATTTGTGATTGATCCCTCGGTTTAGAATTTGTGATTAATCCCTCGGTTTAGAATTTGTGATTATCCTGGATGTTTTTTTTTTCCCCATTCGGTTACTAATTTCTTGTACTGATCGATTGGTAATATTTTCATAGAAGTTGTAATAAGGAAACTATATTTTGCAGGACATGGAATGGGAGCAGTCCTGGCTGGCGGCGCAGCAGCGGCAGCAGCTGCTTATGGGGCCCACCACATGGCGCATGGACATGGTGGATACGGCCATCATCATGGAGGATATTACGGACACTACCCTCACCACGGGAAATTTAAGCACGGAAAGTCCAAGCACGGGAAGCATGGAATGTTCGGGAGGCACAAGTTCATGAGGTACAAGAAATTGAAGTGATTATGTATGTACCCGTCTCGATCAACGGGG